AACCCACAGAAAGTCAGACAAAATACTCCCCAAAAAATAAGTATTTTTGCCTCAGTTAAAGGATGTGTAATATGACAATACCGCTAGTCACTGACGATCCTTCGTAATCAATATGTTTTGGGAAGAATAGTGTCACTCCTCTCTCTCTCTCTCTCTCTCTCTCTCTCTCTCTCTCTCTTTACTACCAACTTAATATGTTATTGTCTTCTTCCTATACTCTGGCTTGTCTCCTCGTTAGTTCCTCTTCACCTCTTTTACCTGATACTCCTCTCCTCCCATCTCATACCCCACTCCCTGCTCTATTACCTTCTCTACTCCCTCTCCATCACCCCTGCTCCTCCCCTCAACCCTAGCATTACCAACCTCCCACCTCACACATCACCACCACCACACCCCATCTTTCCCTTCCTACCTACAGCCACCAACCTCCATCCCTCTCCTCTTCTAGCCTCTCCAACGCCATCCTCCACCACGTCCCCTCCCCTCCCCCAGCACCGCCAATCTCGGTGGTGTCTCCATCTACAACCATTAGCTGGTGGCGGGTCCTCGGCTTCCATTGACCAGAGGACAGCAATGGATGAGGGCAGTTTGTCAGGTGGTGGGCGTGATCTGCGGAGACAATGGACCCACCGATGACCTGTTGGGGAACCCGCCTCACACTTTTTACCCTCACTTACCGACCCTGAGCCAAGTGTCACTCACCACTAACATCACCACTATTCACACCACTAATACCATCACTACCACTAACCACCACTACCATCATCACCACCACTACCGCCATCATCACCACCACTACCGCCATCATCACCACCACTACCGCCATCATAACCACTTTATTGTTGGCTTCGTTTATTTGTTTGTTATTGTCGTTGTTGTGGTTTGTTAATGTCGTTGTTGTAATTATCGTTATTTTGTATTTCTTATTATCATTGCCGTCGTTCGTGTATGTGTTGTCGCCTTAGATCATGTCGCTGTTATCGATTGTATTGATTTTGCTGTTACTAATGCATCTGTCGTTCGTGTTACTTTCCTTGTTGATGTTATAATGTATTACTGTGCATCAACAACTAAAGTCATCAAAACCGTATTCTAGGTTAATACATTCACTAATCATTAAAAATAAAAGATTAAGATAAATACGACTCTTTTGTGTTAAATAAACTTCGAGGGGAAAATATCTTGATATAAATTCGGTTGTACTGTATGTAATGTAAATTTTATTCTGAACCTAACAAAAGAGCCAGTGTATTGCCGGCGTTAAGAGCACTGGGTAGTATAGAGTGACGGTGTGGAGGTGTTAGAACTTAATGAAGCTCTCATTATTATTTAAACACAGTTGCCATTGTGCCCTGACTATGGCGTGTTATAATGAGGCAGGAAGGTAGGGGTTACTTAAGCCTACTCCTCTTGGACTAACAGGTGCTGATGCTACGGTGCTGCTGACGTTCTGGCGCTGACGCTAATGTACAGATAACCTTTTTTTTTGTCATTGCTGTATTGATCATTTTCTTTGTCTTTGTTGTTGTTGTTGTTGTTGTTGTCTTTACCATTTTTCAGTCTCATGATTCGATATTTATGCAGAGAATAAAAATAAATTTTTTCCCCAGTGATAAAATGTTGAATCAGTCTAAACTTTGGTGACTATTTCATGAATCTATCTATCTATCTATCTATCAATCTATCTATCTATCTATCTATCTATCTATCTATCTATCTATCTATCGTATTCTTCACTTCGTTGTTAAGTTTCCCTCTTACTCTCTCTTTCTATTTTATTCTACATACTTTATTACTATTCTTTTATGCTACACTTTTACTCTTAAAAAAAAAATCTGAAACTGAGATTAAAATATTTATCTCATTTTCATAGAGTAAATACACGTCTCTTTTCCTCGAGTTTCTATTTATATATATCACACCTGAACACTTTTATTATATATCTCACCTGGACATTGTGTTATATTATCTCACCTGGACATTGTATTATATTATCTCACCTGGACATAGTATTATATTATCACACCTGGACATTGTGTTATATTATCTCACCTGGACATTGTATTATATTATCTCACCTGGACATTGTGTTATATTATCTCACCTGGACATTGTATTATATTATCTCACCTGGACATTGTATTATATTATCTCACCTGGACATTGTATTATATTATCTCACCTGGACATTATATTATATTATCTCACCTGGACATAGTATTATATTATCACACCTGGACATTGTATGATATATTTCACCTAGACATTGTATTATATTATCTCACCTGGTCATTGTATTATATTATCTCACCTTCATCATTTATTACCAGCTATGGGTTTCTCTCTCTTGCTGTTTACGAGTTTCTTTATAAAAACTTAGAAGAGGGAAGATTAAAATTAGGTAGTTATTGAAGGATTTAATTATATATATATCGATGAACAGGAGACAACAAGGATTAAGAATGTGTGAAGATTAATTATCATATGGATTATCTTGGTGTGTATAAGTGTGGGTCTTGGTGCTAAAAATTAATCATGGTTTTGTTTAGTGATTTACTAGGTCAATTTGTTATATCAAGTGTATGTGCCATGGCCTGTGTTTGTCTTGACCTGTGTTTGACCTGATCTGTGTTTGACCTGATCTGTGTTTGACATGATCTGTTTTTGACATGACCTGTGTTTGCCAAGACATGTGTTTGCCATGACCTGTGTTTGTCTGTGTTTGACTGTTTTTGACCCCTGTGTTTGACATGACTCATGACCTTGACCTGTGTTTGACAAGATGTTTCGACCTGTGTGACAGTTTGTGACCTGTGTTTGCCATGACCTGTGTTTGTGACCTGTGTTTGTCAGTTTGCCATGACTGTGTTTGCCGGACCTGTGTTTGGCCGTGACCTGTGTTTGCCATGACCTGTGCTGCGTGTTTGACATGACCTGTGTTTGCATGACCTGTGTTTGCATGACCTGTGTTTTTGACATGACCTGTGTTTGCCATGACCTGTGTTTGCCATGACCTGTGTTTTGCCTGTGTTTGCCATGACCTGTGTTTGCCATGACCTGTGCCATGACCTGTGTTTGCTGATGACCCTGTGTTTGCCATGACCTGTGTTTGACATGACCTGTGTTTGACATGACTGTTTGCTTGACCTGTGTTGACCTGCATGACCTGTGTTTGCCATGACCTGTGTTTGCCATGACCTGTGCCATGTGTTTGCATGACCTGTGTTTGACATGCCATATGGACCATGATGTTTTGCATGACCTGTGTTTGCATGATCTGTGTTTGAGACCTGTGTTTGCGACCTGTGTTGCCATGACCTGTGTTTGTCATGACCTGTGTTTGCCAAGACCTGTGTTTGCCATGACCTGTGTTTTGCCATGACCCGTGTTTGACAGACCTGTGTTTGCCATGACCTGTGTTTGTTATGACCTGTGTTTGACAAGACCCGTGTTTGCCAAAACCTCTCTTTGTCATGTCCTTTCTTCCCCTCCTGCTTCTCTTCCTTGCTGTTCCTCCCCTGCTCTTCCTTCTCCCCTGCTCCCCCCCCGGTATCAGAATTTTGGGACGAAAATTCAATCAGTTAGGGGCGAGTAGTGGAGACGGGGAATTAATGGTGGACATGGGAGAGGGGAGGAAGGGAAGGGAGAGGGAAGGAGTGGAGGGAGTGAGACAGGGGAGGAAGGGAAGGGAGGAGTGGAGGGGAGTGAGGGAGGAGGTGAGGAGGGAGAGAGGGATGAGAGAGAGGTGAAGAGAGAGAGAGAGGAGGGACAAAATGAGGAGATGATAAGGTAGGGGAGAGAAGAAAGTGTTGGATTAGGTTACGTTTGGTTAGGTTAGGTTAGGTTAGGTTACGTTAGGTTAGATTAGGTTAGGTTAGGTTAGGTTAGGTTACGTTAGGTTAGATTAGGTTACGTTAGGTTAGATTAGGTTATTTAACAATGGAATGTGAAATAAACTGAGGTGTCTAATCTTCAGATAATATATTACCCAGGAGCAGTGATTATCCTCCATATGTATTACCGCTTTATGTCTATTATCACGGCCTGTATATAACCATAAACTACAAGATAACAGAAGGATGCACATTTTTTAGAGTCAATTCTTCCTGGGGATAAGCGATTGAAATCCCTCTAGACCATATTTGATCAGATGTGTTTATTTTATCGTTTAATTTATTCGATTGGAAGGGATTTACTTTCGGTTAATTCGGCATTTTTGATCAGATTACTCGGTGTGTGTGTGTGTGTGTGTGTGTGTGTGTGTATGTGTGTGTGTGTGTGTGTGTGTGTGTGTGTGTGTGTGTGGAGTGTGTGTGTGTGAAAGTGTGTTTGTGTGTGTGTGTGTGTGTGTGTGTGTATTCTACCTAGAGTTTATGACCCAGTGGAGAGGGCACTCAACAGGTGTTCTCGTTTTACTCCTTAGGAAAGTGGACGCGTAGTGAGAGGAGAGAGGAGAGAGGAGAGAGAGAGAGAGGGAGAGAGAGAGAGAGAGAGAGAGAGGAGAGAGAGGTTTAAATTTAGAGAGATGAAGATTACTTGAGAGAAAAAGAGTGAGCAAAGGGTTGGGAAAGAGAAGGAGAGAGTGATCTAACCTAACATAATCTCACTTAACCTAACCCTCAGGTGGTTAATTTCCAGGTGAAATAGGCTGGAGCGTGTCCTACTTTTATTTTTGGATGACTTACACTATAATATGCTATACTATGCATGATTTATTTTATACATACTATAAACACACAACACACACACACACACAAATATATATATATATATATATATATATATATATATATATATATATATATATATATATATATATATATATATATATATATATATATATATATAAAATAGAACATGTAATTAGAGTAGCTATTCACGTCCTCTTTTTCAGGGAGAGTCGAGCGTTTCATCAGTTATAGCGACCACTGCCAGTTGGTAATTAAATAAACACCAGAACTCCGCCGCGTTTATTGCTCCTCCTCGTGATTTATTGTGTCGTGCCTAAGGTTTTTTTTTTCGTAATTTAATTTTCTCTCGAGCCATAAATCATACGAGTGTTATGTGTTATGTATCCACTTAACTAGGTACACAAACCTACATGAATGCCTGCGACACAAGTACTAATATATGGCATGATAATATAATAATGGTTGCCCCTTGAAATCGAGGATGGCCGGCCCTAGGGCCACCTAGGCGTGAATTTGTTTAAGGAATAGTCCGAGAAGACCGGACAACTCGTCAACCCCGGAATACGATCCGCAAATCGTTTAACATCCAGGAGGCAAGTGGCGTAAAGAAACTTGACCAGAGTTTCACCCTATCCGGGGATCGAACCCGGGTCCACTCGCTTGCGAAGTGAGCATGCTGACTATTACTCCACAGGTCACCGAATATATGACATACATACATACATACATACATACATACATACATACATACATACATACATACATACATACCATGGCTTACAGACTTCCTCAGTGACCGACGCCAAGCTGTACGCTTCCGAGGGGCTATCTCCACCTTTCAGTCACTCACCTGTGGAGTCCCCCAAGGCACCAAGATGGGACCACTCTGCTTCCTTATGCTTATCAATGATGCCCTAAGAGAAACCCCTGCTCGCTGGAAATATGTCGACGACTCCACTATTGGGATCAGCGTCAACAATTCTGCTCCCAACCATACCGCCCTTCAGGATTTATTGAACAGTCTCCAAAACTGGGCCACCAACAACCACGTCACCATCAACCATACCAAGACCATGGTTATGCACATCAACCTCTCCTCCGACGTTGTCCCACCCCCTTCCATTACTTTAGGTCCGAACACACTCCAGGTTGTAGATTCCACTAAGCTCCTCGGCGTCACCATAGACAACAAACTAAATTGAAAACCACACGTCAGTGAAGTTATCAAATCCTCCTGGTTCCGTCTCCACCTCCTCCGTGGACTCAAATCCCTCGGAGTTCCTGCGCCCGAGCTCCTCAGTGTTTACTCAACATTCATACTTCCCAAGCTCACCTATGCCTGCCCTGCCTGGTCTTCCTCCCTAAATGCCACACAACGTAAAACACCCAGAAAGTGCAAAGAGGGCATGCAAGATTATTCTCTCCCCTTCCCTACTACATATCACAGCGCTCAACACACTGACCCTTTCTGACTCACTGACCTCTGCACCATCCTCGACACCGGCTCCTACTACCACCTGAGATCCCTAGCCCGAGAATTGCTGTTCGACACCACAACCGCATCCAGCCCATACGTGCACGAACTGATCGCTATAAGAACAGCCCAGTCCCAACCATTGTAAAAATTATCAATGACTTGTAATAAACCAGTGTATTCACTCCCAGTAAATCCTACTTCTTGCACTGTCACTATGTTGAAATGCCCTGTAGTTTGAGCTTTTCCCCATCCAGTTATTATATATCTTATTTGTATCACTTATGTTACTTGTATATTATTTGTAAATCGAAACCCATTCCCCAATTATGCAACTGTATATTTTCAGCCTTCTGGCTGCTATGCTCTTTCAATAAACCGTTAATTATTATTGTTATTATTATTATTATTATTATTATTATTATTATTATTATTATTATTATTATTATTATTATTATTATTATTATTATTATTATTATTATTACATACATATTCTTGGATAATGACGAAAAATGCATTAATTGGTTTAAGTGTTTTATAATAAGACAATACGTGTTTACAGTATATATGCTCTGCTCTGCCGAAGACAGTGTTATGAATCACTTCCGGTTTGTGTTTCGTTATATTTCTGTGCGTGTTTGAATTATCCACCTTTCTCCACTCCCTCCATCCTCCTCCACCCTCTTCACCTTCCTCCACTCCCTCCACTCCGTCCACCCTTTTCCACTCCCTCAATCGCCCTCCGCTCTCCTCCACTCCATCCACCTTCCTTCATTCCCTCTACTCCCTCCACACTTCTCACTACACCCTCCACCTCCACTCCCTCCTAGTCCTTCCATCCTCCTCTACTCCCTCATCCACCATTCATTTTCTCCACCTTCCTTCATTCTCTCCAGTTCCACCACTTCCCTTAAGCCCTCCATAGTCCGCCTTAGGGCCATAATCCTCCCATCAGCCTCTTACCTCTTGTCCATGTTACATCTCCTTCACTTAACTTGTCCTCATTCCCCCCCCCTCTCTCCTCTCTCTCTCTCTCTCTCTCTCTCTCTCTCTCTCTCTCTCTCTCTCTCTCTCCTCTCTCTCTCTCTCTCTCTCTCTCTCTCTGTCTATTCCGCAGGGAAAGAAAAGGGAGGCAAGAGAGGAAGGTGGAAAAGGAGGGAGAGGAGCAAAGAACGAGGGGGAAGAAAATGAAGAAAGGAGAAAAAGAGGAGCAAGGAAGAAAGGGAAGGGAGGAAATGAAGGAAGGAAGGAAGGAGGGAGGGATAAAACGAGGATGGGACGGGAGAAAGGAAGGAAGAGGAGAGAGAACGAGGATGGGACGGGTGGGAGGCTGGGTAGGAAAGGGGGAGTGATGGGAGTGAGAGGAGGAGGAGAGGGTGAAGGAAGAGGAAGTGAGAGGAAGAGAGGGGGGGAGAGGGTGAAGGGAGTGAGAGGGAGGGGAGGGAGAGAGAAGGAAGTCCCCAAGTGACTCGACAAATTCAGTCTAAGTCAATAATGTTTGCTAATTATTCCCGGTACTTCCCGAGGATGATCCCAGAACGATATTGAGTGTGGCAGGCGAGGGTGGGGGAGGTTATGACCCTGCTGGTGGGTTGTGATCTGTTGTGGGTTGTGATCTGTTGGGGGTTGTGATCTGTTGTGGGGTTGTGATCTGTTGTGGGTTGTGATCTTGTGGGGTTTGTGATCTGTTGTGGGGTTGTGATCTTTTGGTGGGGTTGTGGTCTGTTGTGGGTTGTGTTGTGGGGTTGTGATCTGTTGGTGGGTTGGACCTGTTGTGGGGTTGTGATCTGTTGTGGGGTTGTGATCTGTTGTGGGTTGTGATCTGTTGTGGGTTGTGTTGTGGGGTTGTGTGACCTGTTGTGGGGTTGTGATCTGTTGTGGGTTGTGATCTGTTGTGGGGTTGTGGATCTGTTGTGTTGTGATCTGTTGTGGGTTGTGATCTGTTGGTGGGTTGTGATCTGTTGTGGGGTTGTGATGTGTTGTGGGTTGTGTTGTGGGGTTGTGACCTGTTGTGGGGTTGTGATCTGTTGTGGGTTGTGATCTGTTGTGGGGTTGTGATCTGTTGTGGTTGTGGATCTGGTTGTGGGTTGTGATCTGTTGGTGGGTTGTGATCTGTTGGTGGGTTGTGATGTGTTGTGGGTTGTGTTGTGGGTTGTGACCTGTTGTGGGGTTGTGATCTGTTGTGGGTTGTGATCTGTTGTGGGGTTGTGATCTGTTGTGGGGTTGTGATCTGTTGTGGGTTGTGGTGGGGTTGTGACCTGTTGTGGGGTTGTGATCTGTTGTGGGTTGTGATCTATTGCGGGTTGTAATCTGTTGGTGGGTTGAGATCTGTTGGGGTTGTGATCTGTTGTGGGGTTGTGATCTGTGTGGGGTTGTGATCTGTTGTGGGTTGTGATCTCTGGTGGGTTGTAATCTGTTGGTGGTTGTGATCTATTGGTGGGCTGTGATCTGTTGGTGGGTTGTGATCTGTTGGTGGGTTGTGATCTGTTGGTGGTTGTGATCTGTTGGTGGGTTGTGATCTGTTTGGGGTTGTGATCTGTTGTGGGGTTGTGGATCTGTTGTGGGGTTGTGTTGTGGGGTTGTGACCTGTTGTGGGGTTGTGATCTGTTGTGGGTTGTGATCTATTGGTGGGTTGTAATCTGTTGGTGGGTTGTGATCTATTGGTGGTTGTGATCTTGGTGGGTGTGATCTGTTGGTGGTTTGTGATCTGTTGTGGGGTTGTGATGTGTTGTGGGTTGTGTTGTGGGTGTGACCTGTTGTGGGGTTGTGGATCTGTTGTGGGTTGTGATCTGTTGTGTTGTGATCTGTTGTGGGGTTGGATCTGTTGTGGGTTGTGTTGTGACCTGTTGTGGCCAGGATAAGTCTGTTGTATCTGTTGTGGGTTGTGATCTGTTGTGGGGTTGTGGACTGTTGTGGGTTGTGATCTGTTGTGGGGTTGTGATCTGTTGTGGGGTTGTGATCTGCGGGTTGTGATAAGCTGTGGGGTTGTGATCTGTTGTGGGTTGTGATCTGTTGTGGGGTTGTGATCTGTTGTGGGTTGTGATCTGTTGTGGGGTTGTGATCTGTTGTGTTGTGATCTGTTGGTGGGTTGTGATAAGCTGTGGGTTGTGATAAGCTGTGGGGTTGTGATCTGTTGTTAGTCCTCCTTCTCTTGTTCCTCCTCCTCATCCTTCTCCCTTCTTCCTTTTTCCTTTCTTCCTCCTTCAACTTCTCCTCCTTCTCCCTTTTCCTTCTTCCGTCTTTCTCTTCCTCCTTCTTCCCTCCTCCTCCTCCTCCTCCCACTACTACTATTCCTGCTCTTTCTGCTTTTCTTCCTCCCTTCAACTTCTCCTCCTTCCTCCTCTTCCTTCTCTCTTCCTTTCCTCCTTCTCTCCCTTTCCAACCTCCTCCTCAACCTTCTTTCTTTTCTTCCTCCTCCCTCCTTCCTCCTTTCTTCCTCCTCCTTTCCTCCTTCCTCCTTTCTTCCTCCTCCTCTCCTCCTCCTTTCTTCCTCCTCCTCCTCCTTCTCCACCATTCATTAACTCAGGAGGGCTGAAGACGACTCGGCGGACTCATAAGCCCATGCTGGTGGAATACTTGGGGGTACCTTGAGGGGGTGGAGGAGTACCTTGGAAGGAAATAGACTCTTCAACTCTCTTGAGCCTCTGTTATCCCTTCTTCTGTCCCGTCATTTATCCTCTCTTCTTCCTTCTTCCTTTCATTTCTTTTACCCTATCACTCCATAGTTCTCTCTCTCTCTCTCTCTCTCTCTTCCCTCGCATCTTCTTTTCTCCTTCCTACTCTTACTCTCCTCATTCCTTCTCCTCTCGTCAGCCCTTTTCCACCTCCTCCCTCTCTCTCTCAGCAGCTAGTAGTCAGCAGTTAATGGTCAGAAGGTGGTCAGCAGCTAGTAGTCAGCACTTAGTAGTCAGCGGGTAGTGGTCAACAGTTAGTGGTCAGCAGTAGCAGTTAGTAGTCAGAAGTTAGTGGTCAGCAGTAGCAGTTAGCAGTCAGCAGTTAGTGGTCAGCAGTTAGTGGTCAACAGTTAGTGGTCAGCGGGTAGTGTTGAGGCGGCGACCTACACCTGGCCGGGATAATAGAAGAAGCCTCATATATTAATGACCAATATTACCTGTACCTCTTCCCGCTTCACCAGTCATCATCACTCCTAAATTATCTCTCTGGCCACTTTACTCCCAATAAATTTACTTCCCATAAATTCCTGTTCATTAAAATGTCTCTAAATTAATGTTGGCATTTTTTTAAATAAACGACTTAATGATTTTGTCTAGCTTATTAATTTAATGTGTCAAAGTTTTTATTTTTTTATGAACTTATTTATTCTGTCGAGCGAAATAGGTTATAAACTAAATTAATTGTAAAGAAAAATCATATAATATTTATAATTTCTTGATTAGTATATTAAATTCCTAGTTAATTGTCCTCAAAATAAGTGTCTTTAGATTAACAAATTCGAATCACCTGAAGATCAAAGAAACGCCACCTAGGGGAGTTAGTTTAGGTTAGCTTAGGTTAGCGTTAGGGTAGTTGATCTTCAGGTAATCCTAAATTTTTACCTGTACGTTCCCGACGGGGGAGAGAAATTGTATATAACGCCAATTTGAAACCTGTTCTCTGTGTCACCTGAGGCTTTACCGAGTTACCTTTTCCTACCTGTCGGTGTTTTACAGATGATATGTAAAACACCATGAACACCTGCAGCCTCGTCAGGATGGAGTATCTGCGCCAGACACCCACCAGTCAACACTTGTACTCTCTTCTCGTGTTGATTGGAGGGGTTTTGTAGTGTAAATATTATAAAATGATACCTTGGTGATGAGACTCGAAACTGACTATAATTTGAAGATGAGAGTGAAATGAGTAATAATAATAATAAGAATAATAATAATAATAATAATAATAATAATAATAATAATAATAACAATAATAATAATGAAAATAATAATAATAATAATAACAATAATAATAATAATAATGAGTGTAAGTATGATAAAACTAAATATAGGTGTGTGTGTGTGTGTGTGTGTGTGTGTGTGTGTGTGGGCCGCATCAGGCAGACATGTACAAACTCAAAAGACCCCAACGACGATGTAGGCGGCAGAGGTGACCACCATGGAAACCCAGCGACTACACCGGCGGACAAAGCAATGCCTAATGGATAGGCTACTAAGCGAAACCCAGCAAACTAAGCTATCGGCGATTCATGCAACTCCCCCTCTCCCCAGTCGTTTACCGCGCACCACTGGATCAGGAAAAGGGAGAGCCAAGATGTGTAGTTGCAGCCTGCGCCCTGCCTCCACCACATAAATCAACTCGCGCGCAGCCATCACCCAGCTCATCATATCTCATCATCCTCAAAACCACCTATACCCCCAAAAGTCCCTGTGGCGACAGACGAGTGGCGATGAGGACAAGCAGAGATGACTGCCGGGGAGTCTCTAGTCACATCTCTGCACATGGGCGGCACAGATCGCTAAGTCTTTTATGCACTGGGATCACAGGCAGCAATTAGTCAGTCTATCTGTGCATCTACAGGCAGCCCTTTCGAAGTCACTCTGCTCACCCATGGGAAGAGGGGCTAGAAAGGTGCCCTAAACGCAGCACCTAAAACCCAACCTGACTGTGCAGCAGCACCCGAGTAAGGTCATCCTTATAGTCGAAAAACACAACCAGAATCATAGATCAAGCAAAAACAAACCATACAACCTCTTATGGTCGCTGCATGAAATGTCAGGACCCTTCTGGATACTGGCACAAATGAGCGTCCTGAAAGAAGGACTGCCCTTGTGGCAAAAGAGCTGGCTAGGTATAACATCGACATAGCAGCCATCAGTGAGTCCCGGCTCCCAGAGGAGGGCTAATTCACAGAACGGGGGTCTGGCTACACCTTCTCGAAGGGTAAGCCTGCTGCAGAGAGAAATCGCATCCTACACAGACTAACTGAAATACCTATTGGGATCAACGAGCGCCTTATAACGCTTCGAGTCCCACTGAATCACTCACATCATGCCTTCTTCATCAGTGCATACGCCCTAACACTGGATGCAGAGGATGACATCAAAGGGCCTTTTATGCCGACCTCGACAAGGTTTTTCTCCTTGGCGACTTCAATGCCAGAGTTGGCAGAGAAGCTAACATTTGGCAGGGAGCCATAGGGAGAAATGGACTAGGCAAGTGTAATCCCAACGGCCTACTCCTCCTCAGAAGTGTGCTGCACACAACCTCACTATCACCAATACCTTGTTTAGGCAGGCCGACAAGTTAAAGGTTTCGTGGCAACACCCACGATCCAAACACTGGCATCTCATTGATTACATCATTGTCAGAGAAAGAGATCGCCAAGATGTACTCATCACCCGTGCCATGCGTGGCTCAGACCACTGTGACACTGAACATCGACTTGTCAGATCCAAGCTCTCACTTCACGTCGCCCCAAAACGGCGACGTGAAGAAAGCGCAAGAAGAAAGCGGCAGCCCAGCGAGAACTTCGCAATCTAAAGAATGACTGGCTTAAAATTAAAGCATGTGAAGCACAAAAACTTGCAGATTAGCACAAGATGCGCAAATTTTTAATTTTCAATAAAACATTTTATGGGCCAGTCACTCGTGGTGCAGCCCCCCTCCACTCGTCCGACGGTAACCTCATAATTAAAGACGTTGAAGGCCTCCTTCAGCGCTGGAAAGAGCATTACCATTCATTGCTCAACCGAAACACTGATGTGGATGTCCTGACTACCCAGCAGGCCCCTCAGCATCTAGAACTGACCCACCTCAGCTATCCTCCATCCCTGGATGTGAGGTAGCTACTGCCATCAAACAGATGAAAAATAACAAAGTCTCAGGGCCTGATGGAATCCCAGCCGAGGTGTTCAAAGCAGGCGGACCTCTGCTTACCAGCCGTCTCCATTCTCTCCTGGAGAATATATGGGAAAAGGAGGAAATCCCCCAAGCTCTTAAAGATGCCTCCATTGTCAATATTTATAAGAACAAGGGAGACCGGTCAGACTGTGGCAACTACCGTGGGATCTCGCTGCTCTCCGTAGCTGGCAAGACTATCGCCCGAGTCCTCCTAAACAGACTTCTTCCTGAGGCGGAAAATTTCCTCCCAGAATCTCAATATGGTTTTAGACCATCAAGTGGCACCATTGACATGATCTTTGCTGCCCGCCAGATACAGAAAACGTGCAGAGAACAGCGTCGTGACCTGTACATGGGTTTCATCGACCTAACCAAGGCCTTCGACTCGGTCAACAGGGAAGGCCTCTGGTGGCCCCTCAGCCGTTTTGGCTGCCCACCAAAATTCATCGCCATTGTGTGGCAACTCCACGATGGCATGAACGGCAGTGTCATGCACAACGTCACCCAGTCAGAGTTCTTCCCCATCCAAATAGGGGTTAAACAAGGGTATGTACTGACAACAACTCTCTTTTCCATTTTCTTGGCTGCCTTCCTTACTCGTGCCAGTGCCAATTTGGCCAGCGGGGTGAACATCGAGTACCGGGTGAAGGGGGGTCTTTTCAACATAAAACGACTCCAGGCAAGAACAAAGGTATCGGCAGCTTCCATTACTGAGCTTCAGTATGCAGACGACATCACCCTTGTTGGTCACATTGAACACGACCTACAGGAGATCCTGAACACCTACGCAGACGAGTATGCACACTTCGGCCTTGGGGTGAATGTACGTAAGGCTCAGATTCTCTTTCAACCTGCCCCTGGTTCAGACACACCTCCGCCTTCCATCCAGCTTAACGGTACTACCCTCTCTAATGTTGCCCACTTTCGGTATCTCGGCTCCCACCTGTCCACCGCGGCAGACATTGATGAAGAGATTCAGCATCGGATCAGATGTGCATCTCAAGCCTTTGGCAAACTCCGAAATCGTGTCTTCAGCTGTAAGGAGCTCAAATTATCTACAAAGCTGCACGTATATCGAGCAGTGGTCCTCCCCACTCTGCTTTACGGCAGTGAGACATGGGTCACACGCAGGAGGCACCTCAAGGCACTTGAAAACTTTCACCAACGTAGTCTACGTTCCATTCTCCGAGTTCGCTGGGAAGACAAGAGAACAAATGCCAGTATTCTTTCTGGCACCAACTGCAGGAGCATCGAGGCTACCATTATCCATGAACAACTACCTTGGACTGGCCATGTTACCCGCATGGATGACAGTAGACGGCCAAAGTAGCTGCTTTACAGTCACCGAACGAATAGTAAACGTAACGCCAGCGGACATTGAAAGGGTATAAGGATAGTCTTTAGACAAAACTGAAAAAGTGCCAAATCGACCCCCTCACCTGGGAGTCGATTACTCCACATCGTAACGTTTGGAGGAGCACCACACGAGAAGGTGTCGATACTTTCGAGTTAGCCCTACTGCAAGCCGAGGCAGACAAGCGCCAACGCCAGAAAGACGTTGCCACCGTCCCTCCCGCAGTAGATGGAGCCCTCCACATGTACAACGAATGTGAACGACTCTGCGGGTCCCGTATCGGCCTCTTTAGTCACCTCAAAACTCACCAACCTAGGTGACAGCCCTAATAACTCATATCATTGTATCCTAGCTGGATGACCGTCATACTCGATTCCGAGTGACAGCAAAGTACTGTAGTAGTAGTTGTGTGTGTGTGTGTGTGTGTGTGTGATTAAATTGTTTCGTGGGTTAGTTAAGAGTATGTAGTTGTCTGTGGATGAGTCAGTCATGAGTAAATGAGTCAGATGATGTGAATAGTCAGGGTTATGAGTAATGGGTTGTGTGAGTGACAGAAAAAACCCACGATATATGAGGCAAAATATAATGAGTTTTGTATTCAGTAAGTTATTGATGGTAATGTGCCGACAGGGGACGTCTATAATGAATTGTGTATGTTAAAATATTTATTGTTAAGTTCATTGAAACAAATGCAAGAGTGCAACTGGGAAGGTGTGTGTGTGTGTGTGTGTGTGTGTGTGTGTGTGTGTGTGTGTGTGTGTGTGTGTGTGTGTGTGTGTGTGTGTGTGTGTGTGTGTTGTGTGTGTGTGTGTGTGTGTGTGTGTGTGGGAGGGTGGGGAATGGTGATATCCATGTGAGAACACACCAAGAAGCCAGGAACCACTTACCTTTCACCCTCCATCTTTTACCCTCTACCTCCACCCCCTTCCCCACCCCTCCATCTCCACACCCTTCCCCACCCCTCTACCTCCACCCCTTCCCCACCCCTCCACCTCCACCCCTTCACCTCCACCCCTTCCCCACCCCTTCATCTGCAGTGTAGGAGAGAGAGAGAGAGGGAGGTGTGCAGTGAAGGAGAGAGAGAGGGAGGTGTACAGTGGCGAAGAGAGGGAGGGAAGTGTGCAATGTGGGAAGGAAGGAGGGAGGGAGGGAAGGATGGAGAGGGGGGGGGTACTATGGGAGGAAGCAGACAAAAGTGTGTTTGTTTGTTTGGGGAAGGACAGAAAGAGTTTGTTTTTATGTTTGTGTGACATAAATCAAGACTCACTTACACTTTACACTTCACTCCTACTGTTTACTCATCATCATCACGTAAACATTCCCTCTAGTCTCGTCTGCTGTATAGAAGGGAAAGGCTTGGGGGAGAGAGAGAGAGAAATACCTGTTCATATGCCCAACCATCAACACATTACCTGTACATCCCATCCAATGCATCATCACTTCCATTCTATTCACTACAATCATCAAATTACTCTTTCCATCATTGAAATTGGAACACCTATCTGACAGCTGTAGTGATATATGCACACATACTATATACACACACACATATATACATATATATATTTTCCCACAATTGTATAAATGTTCCATGAATTTAATGCATTTTGTGTAGATAATCTGTTCATATATTTTGATCGTGTGTGTTGATACATATCCGGAGTATATTTCATTGTCGTTCGCCGTTTGTGTTTGTAAGTGGATATATTCCCTAACTATATACCATTATTTTTTTATACCACACAAGACGAAAGAAAAAATTATATACAAATTATTATATTATTTAGATTTTATTTATTTCCATAGTTACCATTGTACACTGAGACTTGAAGATAGTTAATGTTGTATACCAATTAATACGTGTTTTTATTTTATTTAATTGGAATTGTAATTTTACTTCTCCGTTTGGCTTGAGAGGATCATTACCAAGAATCACACATACACACACACACGCACACACACACACACACACACACACACACACACACACACACACACACACACACACACACGTTAAAGATAAGAAAATTTAGATTAAGAGTTTGAAGTTCTGGTGTTATTTATTTCACAGTAAAAGATTTTTTTTTAAATTAAAATAATATGAAAACTATTTTATGAAAACCCAACTTTATGCATTATTTCCTCACTTCATTTCTAATGGAGTATTCAGTCGCGTTCTAAATAGCCTTTGTTCTTGTTTTAAGTCTCTTTCTCTCTATTGTTCTTATTAACTCATATATATATATATATACATATATATATATATACATATATATATATATATATATATATATATATATATATATATATATATATATATATATATATATATATATATATATATATATATATATATATATATATATATATATATATTTATTTATTTATTTATTTATTTATTTATTTATTTATTTATTTATTTATTTACATATTTATTTATCTATGCCTTGCGTGTGGTTGCGTGTGTGTGTGTGTGTGTGTTTTGGTGTGCGTTTCTATGAGTGTGGGTCCAATAATTCCTGGTGTATGTATGTTACATGAAGGTACAGTACCTCCGTGTTACAGTACAGTAAACAAACATCGATTACTCTGAGGAGGATGTTGCGATGTTAAGATGAATGAGTCCCCTTGTAGGATGTTATGATGTCGTATATTAAGGTGTGGGACATTTCAGTGCGCGTTGCAGTAGATGCTGGAGAACTTTGATAACTCACATTACTCCTAAATCACCAAGGTAGACAAAATAGATACCCTCCATCACATAGACACAGACCTGTGTCCTGACCACCAGAGGGTCAAGACCTATTCGGCACCCCACGAACTGCCTGTTAGCTTCCCCCCCCCCCCCCCTCAACCCCCTCCTCTCCGCTGGAATGTTAGCAAGTTCCAGCCAGTAGTTAGAATTTTCGGAAAGGAGTGAAATCAGTGATGAACAGTGATTAATGCCAGTGAAATATATGTTAAACGGTAACAAATGAGAATCGTAACCAGTGAGGTCCCAGTTACCAAATATAACTTACCTATGAGACCCAACAATAAGCGGCGATGAGCTAATGCGTCCACGATAGGAGTCCTTGGACCGTCAGTGAGGCCCTGTGACACCAGACCACTCTGTGGCCCCATGACTTTATGATGCCACGAAGTGAAAGTGTTACTACAGCATCATGTGAGGTCCCTCATTGCATCATCTACATGTTTGCTGTTCTACACCTCAGCACACGTGTCCTACGTGACTTCACACAGAAGGGCAAGAGACCAGCCCCTGCCATCCACTGTAAACATTAATTTGTACGTTCACATCATGTTCCTTTTCCATTTTTTTTTTGGCTTTTATTAAACGACCTACTCCCAGTGTTAATGTAATAACACATTTTTGTCCATTATTTAATTTTAGCCATCGGACTGCAGAACTTTTTGACTGACCCGTTAATCATTAATATTAATATTACAAATAAACTCCATCAGCTAGACAGGCAACATACACCTCCTTCATCACCTAGACAGGCAACATACACCTCCTTCATCACCTAGACAGGCAACATACACCTCCTTCATCACCTAGACAGGAAACATACACCTCCTTCATCACCTAGACAGGCAACATACACCCCTTATCACTTAGACAGGCAACATACACCTCCTTCATCACCCAGACAGAAACATACACCTCTTCATCACCTAGACAGGCAACATACACCTCCTCATCACCTAGACAGGAAACATACGCCTCCTTCATCACCCTAGACAGGAACATACACCTCCTTCATCACCTAGACAGGAAACATACACCTCCTTCATCACCTAGACAGGAAACATACACCTCATCACCTAGACAGGCAACATACACCTCCTTCATCACCTAGACAGGCAACATACACCTCCTTTATCACTTAGACAGGAAACATACACCTCCTTCATCACCTAGACAGGAAACATACACCTCCTTCATCACCTAGACAGGCAACATACACCTCCTTCATCACCTAGACAGGCAACATACACCTCCTTCATCACCCAGACAGGCAACATACACCTCCTTCATCACCTAGACAGGCAACATACACCTCCTTCATCACCCAGACAGGCAACATACACCTCTTCATCACCTAGACAGGAAACATACACCTCCTTCATCACGTAGACAGGCAACATACACCTCCTTCATCACCTAGACAGGAAACATACACCTCCTTCATCACCTAGACAGGCAACATACACCCTTCATCACCTAGACAGGCAACATACACCTCCTTCATCACGTAGACAGGCAACATACACCTCCTTCATCACCTAGACAGGAAACATACACCTCCTTCATCACCTAGACAGGCAACATACACCTCCTTCATCACCTAGACAGGCAACATACACCTCCTTCATCACCTAGACAGGAAACATACACCTCCTTCACCACCTAGACAGGCATACACCTCCTTCTTCTCAGACAGGAAACATACACCCTTCATCACCTAGACAGGCAACATACACCTCCTTCATCACCTAGACAGGAAACATACACCTCCCATCACCTAGACAGGCAAGAGACACCTCCGCTACCTACTACACATGACACCCTTCTTCCTCTCCTCCACCAATCGCATTTCCGGTGACAGAATTTTTTCACACGTGGTTTCCAGTGTCAGAATCTTTCCTCTGGACCACCGTTTACATGTGTGATGGTGTCGATTTAAAAACATTCAGAAAAAAACATTAACAGGCGATCATAATTTTGTTTTTTTTCGTTTTAATGTCTTCTTTCAACATTCATTTACAAAACTTAAAGAATAAGAAAAACTTAAAACACTTCTGTTATAATCTCCGAAATTTTGGTGTCTTCTCCATTTCTACTCCTCCGGTAGATTTAATTTACTCCCTTCCCACAGTTGTATCCCCCATGGACTAACACCCCCGGAAAGTTTACTCATTGCCTAACCTTTTTGTTCTTGGCGCGAGTTTTTAAGTACTGTACAATCCCTTAACAAAAAAATAATAATATTGAGAAATTATAGAAACAAAACTTCTCTAGGAAAAATAGTCATTATATTCTGTTGGTGCTCCTCTCTAGTACCAGCCAAGTATCTGGTGTCTACTTTAGAGCTAAGAAACGGGGTCAGAGTAGGTCAGTGTGTTGTCCGATGTTAATTTTGTGTGTGAGACCTGAACATTGTCGTCCAGGGACCCAGCATATAATTCAATAGTCAGACATTCTCTTAAAACTAAGACATTTAATAAGTCTCTAATTACATTTTTTTTTGGAGAAAGTGATTTATAATTCAGTAGTTCAATTTTTCTTTCTCAATTTAATTACTTAAAAGACTTGGTAAAAACTAAGGAAGAGGGGAGAGCCCCTCCCCTCCCTCCTCCCCTGTTACCTGAGGCGCACCTGGCTCAGACCCGCCTACTGTTTACCATTGTTTGTATACCTGCATTGTTTATATACAATAACTATGGCACTAAATAGAACTTAACTCACTATACACAACAGTCACTATAGCACAATAACTAAGGCATCAAATGGAAATTAACTCACTATACACACACCGGTCACTATAGCACAATAACTAAAGCACCATATTGAAGTTAACTCACTATACAGCCACTATAGCACAATAATAAAGTCACCACATTAGTCCAACCGTCAACACCATATCTAAGTAACATCATCTAATAATGCCTTAGTCTCTCTGTCTCTCTCCACCCTCTGTGTTTCATTAAGGAGGAAGATCAAGATAAAAGCCTCCACAACCTCCATGCCGCCACTCACTACAACACAACCACATTTCCACATCTTGACGACGCTTCTTTGATCTCCTTCCTACAGGGAATAATATCAACACTTGCTGTGAACCTATGACTGAGGGAGTTCATTTACTCTTCCTTTGTTATGATCATATAACAAGTAAAAGCCATAATATTTCCAAAAATTATAACGAAGGCCATTATCTTCTGTGGACCTAAGATTGTGTGTGTCACTTTATGTTACTAGAAAGGATTTTGTTTGGTTTTAATATTAATTTTTTTTTGTGGCTTTAGTAGTTAATTAAATGGAAATGATCTTTTATATAGAGCGTCTAAAGGATTTCCAGTTAGCAGAGTAATACAAGGTTGATCTGAGCTCTGGCTGGCAAGTTAAATGGTTCAGACTCACGGAATGCAGTCAACTCACGGAATGCAGTCAACTCACGGAATGCATCAACCGCAGAATGTAATCGACTCAGAATGTAATCGACTCACGGAATGCAGTTATCACATTCAACTCACGGAATGCAGTTGACTCAGAATACGACCTCAGAATGTAATCGACTCACGGAATGCAGTAGACTCACGGAATACAGTTGACTCATGGAACCTTACCGACTTACAAAACTAGGCCCTGACAGACTGACACAACCGACTGACAAAAACAAAACCGACTAAAGGAACCCGACCAACAAACAGAAGTAAGAAGCCTCCAACCGACAAACTGAACCTTATAAAGATTCACCGACTACGATCAGCCGACCACTGACTATTAATTATGGCGGCGTAGCTGTCGGCCGAGGGAGTAGGGAGAAGAGGAGGAGAGGGGAGAGAAGAGAGGAGGGAGAGGAAGAGAGGAGGAAGGGGAGGGGGAGAGGGAGAGAGGAGGGAGAGGGAAGGAGGAGAGGGGAGGAGGGGAAAGGTTAGACTAATCCTCTCTGGGTGTGATGCTGATCCTTACCTCAGCCTCATTTATTACGACTCGGAAAAAGCTAGACTTAATACTACGTAGACGAGGCTCATCCCACCACCACCCCTTCACCCCCCACCCCCGACACAGATAGTGATTAATTGAGCTGTGTGTTGTTCTGGGGGGGTAGAAGAAGTAGATATGGTTCTATCTATCTATCTATCTATCTATCTATCTATCTATTTATCTATCTATCTATCTATCTATCTCCACAGGAAGAAAACCGAGTCCTCACAAACGTCTCTCTCTCTCTCAAAAGAACTAACACAACGTAGGTAAATGGAGCTACAAATTAACGCATTACATCACTTGGTCACTGTCACATAGTCTGACAACACCAGACAGCTCGACACAGTGTGTGGAGGAGGAAGGAGGGAAGGAGAGAAGGGCAGGAGACAAAGCTGGGAGGTAAAGAGAGGGAAGAGAGAAGGAAGGAAGGAAGCTGGAGGAAAGGAAGAAGGGGGAGGCTGGGTAAAGGAAGGGGTGTCGGGGTCGGAAGGATGGAGGCAGGCAGAGAGGGAGGTGAGAGGAAGAGAGAAAGGAAGGAAGAGACGCAGGGAAAGAAAGTAACGGGTAGAAATGGAGGCAAGGAAGGTAGAAAGGGAGAAAGGAAGAGAAAATAGGAGGCAGGTGAGGAAGGGAGGGGTTGAGGGAGCCGTGTATCACCTGGCTATAGGCTGGTCAGCGTGACACTAAGTGGTTGATGAGTGGTAGGTGTGTGTGTGTGTGTGTGTGGTGTGTGTGTGTGTGTGTGTGTGTGTGTGTGTTATCAACTAATAGCTCTTGACAATATTGACATCCATTGAATAGATATATATTATACTGTAGTTGTATCAATCCTAAATATTATTCTTTACATTGTACAAAACACTAACGTCTCCAACACCCAAGAAACAATAATAAGAGACAAATGTTTAATATCAATACAAAAGTTTTTCTTAACAAATATTTTACGAATGAAAAAAATAATAATAATAATATGAAACAATATCTCACCTCGGATACTTTACCACAACGAAGACACAGAGAATTTGGGTTTTATTTTTACAACTAAACAAAATATATACAAGAGTACTAGAAGCCCATGACGGTTACTTCCTTCCAGTTTATTTCAACGAGGTTTAACACTAATACTACTTGGTCGGGTTAGGCTAATTTAGGTTAGCTTAGTTTAGCCTAGTTTTACATTAGATTAGATTAGTTTTGATTAGAATGGGTTAGGTTAGATTTGGTTGAGAATAGTTTAGGTTACGTTACGTTGTATTAGGTTAGGTTAGGTTAGCGTTAGGTTAGTCTAGACTTTGTTAGATTATGGTTACGTGAATAAAGGTGAAACAAAGTGAGACTAATGTTGAAGTGTTCCCACGAACTCATGTCATGACCTTGAAATTCACCTCCAAACCTTAAATAAACT